CGCATTCAATCTTTTATTTATTTTTTTGCTTTGATTTGGAATGACTACTTGATGCCTGATTAAATCAACTTTATTTTAAAAAATAAATAAAAGAAAAGATGATTAAAGCTGTCGTGTCCTCCCCAGGAGAACGCATCCTTTAATTTCTGTTCTAAGAAATCAAAGTTAATCATGCAGTTGTGTTTGCTGTGACACTTCCTGGAATTCATTAAAAGTTTGTGGACAGTTCCGGAAAGTAACGGACAGATGCAGCGTTGAAGTTAGATATAAATGATACCAGGCGATTCAGTAACAAAGAGGAACATCAGGCCTAGGACTGACTGACCGCTCCAGGTGTCAAGCGGTCGTCAATCACTGGACGCTCGACTAATGAGGACGTCTCCTTGATCTTCTTGCAGTTTTTAAGGTTGTTTGTCTTTTTTGCATATTTTGATGAAAAGTTGGACCTCATTCAGCGCCACTCTACGTAGACCTTGAACAGAAACTGAACGTTACTGCTCGGTTTTACTGTCCGTGTTTGTCGTCTGATGTAGGAACAGTGGTGGGGTTGGTAAATTCGAGGTCATGCCCCCTCCCATTTGTCGTCATGTTGAACACAATTGTCCTTGCAGTATTATGTACCCCTCAGGGTAAATACTAGGATCGCTTAGCATGTTCTTGTTAAAAACATAGTGTGGCGTACATACGACTGTTGGCAGAGAGGAGGCCTAGACAGGAAGGAGGACCAGTCAGGTTTGTATTGCTTTGACTTGTTCCCTGTGTATTCTCAAGGTTGTCTTTATGATAATGTAGTAGCACAGCTGGGCTAACTGCCTCAGAGCTCTGCTGTCTGTCGTTAGATTCTCAACAGGAGGCGTCCCTCATTTCTCTTGTCTGTTTTACACAGATGTTTTTCGCCCGTATATTAAAAAACATTTGTTTTGGAATTCTAACGTCAGGTACTGTACGTTCAGAGTTGGTGATGGAGGAAGTCGCCTGAAGAAACTCGCTCTGGTTCATGGTGTTGTTCAGGAAACCATTACCATGAAACATTAATGAATCACAAGATGAAACTGCTGAGCAGACGTAGGTTTCCTCTGGTAGATGATCACATTTCATTACGAGCAAACATAAAAGTGTGTAAGTGGATGCAGGCGCACAGAAATGGTATGAAACGTCCTTTCGCTTCCAGGACTTTTTGATGTTTCAGATGAAATGGATCCCAAATAATAAAAAAAAGAGTCAGTATTGTAGACGTGCAGAGCCATCGGGCTGTGATGGGCCGCACTCTGAGGGCATGAGTCACTGGAAGAGGTTTCAGAGGTGTGTGTGTGTGTGTGAGCCTGATAAATCCTCGGTGCGTTTTTTAAACGCATCATTTTCTCTCACCATGGCTGAGTGTGTGAGGTGTCCAGCAACAACACCAGCTGCTTTGATTAGTTATTTTCTACTGGTTAAAGGAACCTGAACCTAAACTCAACCTTTCAGTTGTTTTTGTTTTATTGAAGTTGTTCTCATGTTTTAAATGAATGATCTCAGGTGAAGTGTCTCTAGAGCAGAACAGTTATTCACACACCTCATTATCCAGCTGTGATTTTATTAATTAGAATAACTGTGAAAACACCTTAAGGAGGAAACGGTAACTGTTGTTGTGTGTGGTCTGTTAGTTGGTCTCTGATAGGTGGAGTAATCTGAATCAGATTATTTGCCCTCGTTGATGAACCTCTCATTGGTCACTGAGTGGTCCCTGTAGTGTCAGCCGTGTCCTAATGTCCCCACGTCTTCAGGCAGTAGAATGTCCGTGTTTTATGACTCTGATGTAGTATCTGCTCAGCTCATTAAAGGCCCGGCTCCTAAATATTTTTCTTTCATCTAAAATGTGTCTGAATGGTTTGTTTTTCTTAACAAAGCATTTCTTTTCTCATCTAGAGCCTGGATGGAAGAGTGGTGGTAAGAAGTGACGCTCGCGTGGCCTCCCTTACTGTAAAAAATGTCAAATACACAGACGCCGGTCAGTATTACTGCACAGCACGCAGCGCCATCGGAGAGGACAGTCAGTCTACGTACCTGGAGGTCCGCTGTGAGTAAAAACAAAAAACACACTGTTTTTACCTTTTTATTTACTTATTTAGAGTCAAAAAATTGAGCTACCCAAAAGGTAGTAATTGGGAATATTTAGAATTTGGCAAAAATATTAATAATAAGTTTTAGTCAAAATAAAAAATAGAATATGGTCTTTATATGAAATACAATTTTTAACAGAAGAAAAAAAGCTAGACGATACCTTATTGGTCCACAATAAACACTAGGTTAGAAAGTGATGATGTCATTACAACAACCACAGGTGGTGACACAAAGCCTCAACGAGAACATTGTTCTAAAAATTAAATTCATTTTAGCGTTACTGGAAAAAAAAATGCTAACACACTCTACAGTCGGGTCTAAGAGATAATCTAATAACTCTGTTCACAGCCTGACATTTAAATGAGTTTTTAATCCGGCACAAATGTAGCTTTGAGACTCATTATGTATTTTTCCCAACGATTAAACCTCTGTGGATTTTCTTTGAAATATCAGTGTAAAGAGTCAAAATCAATTTGTCTGAGAAACTGTCTGGCCAAGCATTAACCATACTGAAATTGACTGAAAGAAAAGTCGAATTTTTCTTTTATGGTGGAGGTATTGATTTAATGTTGGATCGTTTTTGGTAAAAAAAAAGAACAAAAAAAAAAGAAAAGAAACAGACACTGTAGAAATATTAAATAATTAAATAACTAAATTAAAAAAGTGCCAAATGTAAATCAGTCTCTTTTAGACAACTGCTAACTGCTTAGTTCATACATGCTGCTTCAATCTAATTTCCATTAATTTTTAAAGAAAAGCAAACAACGTCATGACAAACACTACTAAATGAATTTCTGATTTAAAAGAAAGTGTGTTAGGGAGTGTACGTGTAAAACACATTGTTTTGTTGATTGTGACTCAGAATTCAGTTGGTCAAGGCTGATATTGTCAGGCCTGTGTGTGTGGGAGTTATGAACTTTTGGTTATTCGTATTACGTCAGTGTTGCTCAAACCAGTCTGCTGACCTCTTAATCTGTGAGCTGTGAAGCAGCAGGACCTCACAGATTCACTCAGCCTGAGGCCACATCAAAATAAACAAAACCCCTGTTGTTGAGCCCTGGCTTATTCAAGTTCTTACTCGTTATTGTTTGTGAAAATCAGATACAAAATCTATGTTTTTTAATGTATAAAATAGATTCAAGGAGAATGGGAAATCCATTTAGAAATAGTTAAGTGGATTTTTTGTTATTTCCCCAGACGCCCCTAAGATTCATGGTCAGGCAGCAGTGTTTACCTGGGAGGGGAACACCGTGAACATCAGCTGTGAGGTCAAGGCTCACCCCAGTGATGTGTCCATTTTTTGGCTGAAAGACGACCTGCAGCTGCCCAGCTCTAACCTCAGCAACATCAAGGTCTTCAGGACTCCATCGTCCAGCTTCCTCCAGGTACACACACCAACACCACAGTCATGAACATTCCATGACTATAGACTTTAGGTCAGCCATCATCAACTGGAGGTCAGCGGGCCTAAATCCAGCCTGCCAAACCTACACTCTTTGGATTCCAAACTAAACATCAAATTATAATGTGAGACAAAAAATGTGATTTTTATTCATTTTATTTGAGTGTTTTCTTCATTTCCCTTTGTTTCTTTAAGATAACCCCTTGGTCTGACAATGATTTCGGGAGCTATAACTGCACAGCCTCTAATGACATGGGAACAGAGTCCAAGGAGTTTGTGCTGATTCAGGCCGGTAAGTCATTACCGTAATATTCATAATATGCTACACTTTGTTTCTGTTTTTTTTCTCTGTTTTTTATTTAGATCCCCTCCCATTTTCTTGTAATTATTATTTTTTTCGTTCTGACCTGATGCTGATGTTCATCTACATGAAGGTTGTATGATATATTGGGGGGTGGGGGGGTCTGAGACCAGGGGGCTTTCTGAGAGTGCAGAAACTGGTGAAGTTTTTCCAAAAAAAAAAAAAAAAAAACCAAATGAAAGAGAAACAGCAGCGAAGATTACTCTTTTCTGTACTGGTTTAGAACTAAAAAATACAAGCCATGGAAACCAGTCTGGTTGGCACGATGACGACGAACATGCGAGGCTGAGCAGAGATGTAAATACTGCTGATCAACACACAGGTGCTGAAGATGACGCAGCATTGCTCACTGTCTGTCAGTGCAAACCGAAACCGTAAAGGTTAGAATGGTGAGGCATTAGTCAGTGACAACAACTCCCACACTCAGATGGCCAGTGGCTCCTTCATAATATCTTGGACCTGGCTGCAGGAATTCCTTTATAGTCAAACAAACATATCAAAGACAGGGTGACAGGGAGACGTCTCATCACAAATCAACTGCATTTGGACCACAGGTATTTACGTCTGGCTTTTACCTGTCATGTGTCATAGTTCACACCAACACTCCATCTATCTGCTCCTGGCCCGGCCCCCCTGTCAACTTTTAGAACCCATTGATGCCCGTGAATCAAAGAGTTTGACCTGCCCTGTCCTCTGATCTTAATGAGTGTTAGTCCTCCTTCATTAGAATGTGAGAACTGCTTCTTATTTGTGAACATGGTGCAGGGTTTCTTTTGTTGTTTTTTTTAATATTAATACATCATTTCCTCACTGTCTCTCTCTCTCTCTCTCTCTCAGACATGCCATCAGCTCCACTCATCAGCGAGGTCAAACCCTTCTCCACGACAGCCCAGATCCATTTTGAAGAACCAGAGTCCACTGGTGGTGTTCCGATCCTAAAGTACAAAGCTGAATGGAGGACGCAAGACAGAGGCAACTGGCTGCAGAGGGTCTACGAGGTCCAGAAAGGTGGGGGCGCGGGCCTTGCTTTAAGGTCTTACTTGATGTGGAGATATAGAGCGTCCTCTTTCCTCAAACTGATCCAGGTCCAGTTTTTTGGCAGCACCACTTGTGGGGTTTAGGTTTGTTGTCAAGGCCAAGGTCACACACACACACACACACACAGGTTTGTGTAGTGTAAACAGCTGTTGCTCTAGGTCACAGACACCACACACTGAGCCAAATGGAAATTCTGGTTGTAGAAAATACATCTCTCGTCATCTTTCTCCTCCTCCATATTTTTGTCTTCTTGGTCTTCCTCTTTTTTTTCTTTTTCTTTTTTTTTCTTATTTTCCAGTTATTCCACTTATTTTCATCCTCTTCTTCCCATTGGCCTCAATTCTTCTCGTCCATGTCGTCCCTCTCAGTTTTATTTCCCATCTTCTTTTCCTTTGGAAAACATTTTCCTTTGTTCATTTTTTACCATTTCTAATTGTTTCCCCTCTGACTTTTCCAGCTTTCTTTTTTTTAACTACTACTTGTTTTTGTCTTATAGTCTGTTCTGTTGATAGACAGACTGAGGTAAAGACTGTACAATAAAGAATACAAACGTATTGAATTTATTATGTGTTTCCGTGGACACGACTAATGTCGTGAGACCAAAGGACGTTGAAAACCCACACGTTGCCCCACACACGCCTTTGGCAACGTGACGTGAACAGTCACGTCAAGATGAAGGAGTCCTTTGATTCTCCTCGTATCTTTTGTTTTTTTTTCCCTACCCACCGTGGCTTATTTCAATCATGTTTTGTAAAGAAAGAGTGAGAACCAAGTTATTCTTCTACGTAAACTCCGTGTAGGAGAACAGATCTCACAGCCATCTGTTATGAAGGCCAAACGTTTGAACTGTAAAACACATTTTGTTTCAGCAGAACAGATAAAAGTAGAATGAGAAAGAAGGAGCTTTGATCTGGAGGAAACGCTCTTCACTGACAACACACTGTTGATCTCGGTGTGAGAGTGTTTCTGTCGTTGTCTTCGTGATGTCTTTAACACAACACTGCTAGTTTGTTTGTCTGTTTGCACAAACACACACACACACACACACATTGATCACATGACCATTATTCTGCGTCTGGCAGATTGGTGCTCCGTGCCTCTTTTGAAGACTTGGCCATCTGTTTTTTCCTTTCAGACCAGCAACAACTGTTATGCAACGTTTTGTTTTTCATGTGTGAATATTTGTGCAGTCCAACAATCAGACAACAGTTTCAGCTCAAGTACCGGGGCTCCCGGACTTACCTACAGTGTGACGTAACTCTGTAACTGTACTAATACTGAACACAAGGTCACTCAGCTACGCTAACACAGTGCTAACATCATAATCTAGGACAGAGAAAAACGGCAAAAAGGTCCGCTGTATGACGACATATTCATTCACATTCAGCTGTTCAAAGATCATCTTTTAAACCAAATCTAAGATTAAGAAAATGAAATAAAAAAACATTGTTGTCTTAAAACTAGATGGTGCTATTGATTGAATGAAATGAAGCTGGGTTTTCATGGTCTCCATTGACTTTTTCCAGCCTCCATTATTGAAGTGACAATCACAGGACTGAAGCCAGAGACCAACTATGAAATGAAGCTGTCTGCAATCAATGGCAAGGGTGAAGGTGACAGCAGCTCTGCTGAGGTCTTCAAGACACAACCTGTCCGTAAGTCATCTGTCCTTTTTAGTTCAAAGCTCTTTGTATGAACAAAAAACAAGTCTTTGTATGTCTGTGCCAGACAAAATTGCAACTCCAGTACCTCGTTTTCAACTCATTTTAACCATCAACACGTTCACTTCAGGCTTTGTTTCTGTGAAATCTGACAAGTTCTAAACTGTTCTTTTTAAATTGTTTTGCAAAATCTCTGATTTATTCTGACGTCTCTTCATAAATCATTGTTAACTGGGAAAAATTTGCCTCTTAAATAACAAGGCTTACTCTACACTTTATCGCCCTCTGTTGATAAAAAATGCATACTTTCCCTTTGCATTTGTATTTACAGTATTGATCCCCTCCTGCTGCCCATCGACTCACAGTCATGTAATGAACGCCTTTGAATTGAATCAATTGTGCTTGGAAATAGAATGCGTCAAACATCACATCAACATTATGTTCAATAACAACAACAACAACAACAATAATAATAGCAATACTTTAAGCAATGTTATAATAGAATAAATAGTACATACCTCTCCCTGGGCTCTCAGGCTGTGCAGCCCACTACTGCCCCCCTGCTGTGGTGATGAGTTAAAGCACTTATCATACTGTGCAGTGTCACAATGACCATAAATCACCTTTACTTATCTGAGAAAAGCTATTATTTGAACAACTGTAGAAACCAGATAAAAATCTCTGGAGTTACTTTATCAAAATAAATGATCTTGACATAGTGGTTGTAGTGTTTTAACATGTTTAAAAAGTCTGTGCCAACACTGGACATCTGTTAAAGCCGTGTCTTAATACGATGTGTGTTCATTCCGTGTGATTTCAAAACCATTCCAGGTCAAACACTTTTCACGTTTCCTTCTTCACCCGTTGAGTTTCTGAGTCATATTTAATTATGCCAGAGTTTCAGGCTCTAATTACCTGATATCTTCTCTCCCACGTCCTCAGACAACATTTCTCATTATTTCTCTGAAGACACAGGTTTGTTTTTAGAGTGTGAGTAATAAAAAGAGTTTATTAGGTTTTTATTATGCTGTTGCTTTTTGCTATCTCCTCCATCCCCTCGTTAGTTTGCCTTTCCTTTGTAATGATGCAGCTCTGAGTTTTTTTTCTAGTCTGTGACCCTGGAACTGCCTCATTATCTTCTTCTCTTTATTTAATTTACATGACGTGAGATAACAAACGTAAACTTCAGTCAAATCACCACCTAATGAAAAAGTCAGACAGGTGACCTCAGTCCAGCATTTTAGAGCCGAAAGATCAACGTTTAACAAGTTTATATTTAAACAGTCACTAAGAAAATTCTACAGCCTTTAAAATACAGGGATTTTTAGAAGTGTCACATTTTGACAATAGAAAACTAACCAGGCCTAATTGGATTTAACTTTATAAATATAATATATAAATAGGATTCAATTTCTATAACCAAGTTCTTACTTCCTGGGACATTTCCAATAATATCCATGTGAGCTGATGTGGTTCCATGTCCCATCCCTTCAGACAGACTACATAGGAACAACAACAGAATTCCAGTTGCTTTCATTTAGTTGCTGGTTAATGTAGTGGAAACCCGTAGCTCCTGGTATTTCCCAGAGTCGTACCACAGTTAAAACCCCGACTGAACTGTGTTCTCCTTTCATCATCCGTATCCATATCTGTCGTCTTCTTTCATCCATTCTTGTTTGGACATAATATGTGACTTGACTTTGATGGAGCTGAAAGTCCTGTCCAATCAACAGAAGGTAATCCTACTGCTGTTACAGAAATGTATTGTTGTCCAGTAATGTTTTCCACTTGTGTGGGACAATGAGCACATGTTTCCATGATTATGTCTGTCCTCACTACGTTGTCTTTTGGTCATGACTCACAGCTGATATAACGGCCATCGTGATTCTCTGGGGCTGACTGAGTCCTGCCATGGGGTCTTTGACATTTTTCAATTTAAGGACCCCAAACTGATAGCCAGATGGAGCGGGGGTGCCTCACTGAGGGAAACATAGGGTTAGGATTAGAGCAGAAGTTCAAGTTAGGGTTTACTTCTGCTATCAACAAACTGGTTCACACTTAAAATAAAAAATAAATAAATAAATAAAAATGTATGTATGCATTTATCTATTTACTATAACATTTCAATTCACGTTCACATTTATAGAACAAATGGTAGAAAACCATATGGAAAAACTATAACTATACTATAAAAAAAAACGAATATAATGAGAATGTCTGCCCCTACAGCACAGTCTCTTACTCTCATGTTCATTTCAGGTTTTTGAACGTTATGTTTTCATTCAGTCTTTTTTAGATTTCGTCAGATTCAAATGCAAATGGTAATACATCTGTTACATTAAAGATGTTATTCCCAGAAATATTTGTATTATATTTTATTTCCTAACTCAATGAGAGTTGCGATATAGAATTATAGTGATGTCGATAATAGAACCAGAACTGTGAAATTTTCATTCTCTTCCGTAAAGGTCAGAAATGCGTCCTTTTTAGGCTACTCTGACACGCTAAGCTACATTTTCTTTAGTTCTTGAATTAATAGGATGTTATTATGTCTGTTGTGTGTGTGTCTGTAGGAGTTCCCAATCCCCCTAAACTGGAAGGATCAGGTTTACCTAAAGGAAACTCCCTCAAAGTCAGATGGATAAAACAGGATGACGGCGGATCGCCAATTTTACGTTACCTCGTTTCATACAAACCTGTGAGTATCCAGCGGTTATCGTTATCTTTTGCGATGTCAGTCGTAGTTTTAAAGAAGAATCCCTTTGTTTCTCCCTCTTTCATAGTGTTGCCTCAGTAAAACAGCTCATGTCCTTACACCTCATCATCACTCTTCCTACAGAGGTCCCTAAAGTCCCTAAAACCAGCAAAAACAACCTCTCATCTCTTAACATTTCTGTGACATAGTTTTGATTAGAAGTCCAGGGAATTAGCACCAAAATGAAGAAGTTCTGCAGAGAATTAAATAGTGCAACACTAAAATGTTAGTCCATATCAGAAGCCAGCCCCGTGGTTAGTTCCTCTCCTGTGTCAACAGATTCAAGCCACTGAATGGAGACCAGAGGTCCCTCTATCCAGCGACAGTGAGTACGTGGTTCTCAGCGGCCTTGAGTGGGACACGGAGTACAACGTCTTTGTGGTTGCAGTAAATCAGAAGGGCAAGTCCCAGCCAGCGACCATGTCCTTCAGGACTTCCTCACAGCCAGAAGCCATTCCAGGTACATGAGTCTTTAGAGAATAAGAAAAAAGGACACATCTGATTGTGCTTCATTACGTGTGTGTGAAAACAGATGAAATAAGATCAGAAATAAGAAACGATCTGGACAGCATTAGGACGTTTTTGGACATAAATCGTTTTGACAGAAGCAAGTAAGATTAGAAGGATCATCCAGTTAGTTTGTACATGTGGTTGTAGTAATGGACCAGTGACCAGGGTGTCCAGGGTGACCAGGCCCCTCCCCCTAAGACACAGAACAGGGCTTTTTTAAGCATTCAATTTATTTATAGAAAGTACAACTTATCTGAGAATAAGTTTACATTTCGGTGCCTTTGATTTTATTTATGACTGCGTTTTCGCCATTGTTACAGAAATCTTTTTCTTTTCATTTTCAGTTATCAGACCTAACTCATTTTCACTCTCTTCCTTTGTTTTCCCCGTCCCTTCTTGTGTTTCTCTCTTCATTCCCTCCCCTGTATTCGTTTTCTGCTCTTCCCTGTCTCTCTCAATTCTCCGTCTCACTTGCCTGAATCCTGGACGTTGGTGTGATGGACCATGTCAACATTTTCGTCCCGACCTGAGTGCACTTTTCATGGTGCTTTTTTTTGCTGTTCCTTTCTCCTCTCATCAGCCATTCAGGGCTGCTCACCTGTGACGTGCTCTTCGCTATCACTCGTCTTCTCACTCCTCACTGTCCCTTTTTTTTCATAGTAGTTTCTGCTGTTGCTGCGCAGTGTGTGTAGCAAAGCAGAGCTCTCTCTCTCTCTCTCTCTCTCTCTCTCTTTTGCCATCTTACTCTCTGGACAGTTTTTTTTATTTAAAACTGACTGTTTACAAGACTCAAGACTGAACAGGTTCTGGCCAAGAACTGTCTCTGACACAGTGAGAACCGGATGAATAAGACTAACACGTGTCCTTTTAACATGAGCACGGCCCTGGCACATTTCCAGTTCGAATTTCTGCTGTCGTATTACCAAGGGAAACAAAAGGTTTTAAGGACAAATCCTGCTGGTTTAAAACCCTAGTTGCCCATTGCTAAAACTGTATTGTTTTCACTTCAATGTGTTACATCTTTCAGTCATTTATGGAGAGAAATGAATTCATTTTTATGACCACCAGCAACGTTTTTTATACCCTCTCTCTGTATTGGATGTTTTGAAGTGAACAGGACGCCCCCTAGATTAAATGTTTTCCACTGCTAAAAGCCCAAACCAGCAGTAGGGTGTTAGCTAGGCTAGCTTTTCCTAGCTTGCCACACTGGAACCAGACTCGAGAAATAATGCTGTTTTACAAACATAACTCTTTTACAAGGCACTAACATGCTGCTTAATAGCCCACCGTTAATTCACTATGTGCGAGTGCGCCACCATAATGCTGCCAACATGCTAGCTGTTAGCATGCCGATAACACACTGAATGATGAGAGTTTTTACAAGTGTTGATTTCTAAATATTTTCTTTTAACTGATAAACTGATAAAAGTATTTTAAATTGTGTACTCCTGAGTACCATCACCAATACTTCTTTACGTTGGGTTTCAATATGTAGGCAACGAACTGGAAGGCAGTGTTACTCAGGTTGCACACCTCTGAAGGCAACACAGAGCTCAGTGTGAGCTCAGCTCTCTTGTTACACTCCGTTATTACTGATGTCAGTATTAATACAGAGAAAATGTTTGTTTCACCTGTGTATTTACATGAACACTTCAGGATGTGAAATACTTTAACCACTCACAATGTCTTAGAACTACACTGTAAACGTCTGAAGTATTCATGTCTACAAAACTGGAAAAGAAAAAGAGGACATTAATGTCATGATTAACACTGGACACAGAAATATGTCGTTTTGTTCAATGTTCACAATTTAAAAAAAAGTAAAAGTATCAAAAAATAAACATTTCTACCTTGGTAATCAGTGGTTATATTTTTACTAAATTGTCTAAACTGATAACGTGTTTGTGATCAACAAGAATAATGACACGACTTCAAAGGGCAGTGTTGTTAAAAGGAATATTATTTTTATTTACTTTTGATTTAATTCAGAGATATTTGGACTCGGACCTACAAACATGGCCCATGTTTAAATAAGAACATTTTTATTTAAATAAAAGCAGGACAATAACAAAAAAAATGTTTTGCTTTTGTTTTTCTGGTACCAAAACTATTTTGCTTATAAATTGCCTAAAACACAAACCACATGTTTAGACAAGTTGGTAAACTTCCTTGATTTTATATAAACAAAAGAACGTTGAGTTTTCTTGTGCTCTTCACTTGAACAACAAAAAGACAAACTAGTTTTACTGTTCTTCCTGAATAACAGCCAAAATCCGGAGTTTTGTTCCCAAATAAGAGGAATATTAACAAATAAAAGTTTCTGTTCTTCGTCTGTGTTAGGAAACGCGTGTTATTCACAGATTGTAGTTTCCATTTCCAATAGAAGTATACCAACTCTTTCTGAAGGTGTGATTTGTACATGTTTGAACAAAGTTGACACAAACACTCACAGCAGCGGCTCAGTTTATTTCATGTCGATGATTAAAAGCCATCGGTGTTTGTAAAAGGTAAGAGGATTTCTGTTTTGATGTGACAGTACTGTAGCAGCACGTTCAACGTGGATGTGTGTGTGTGAAACTTGTTGTAGCCCACTCGGCCAACACCCATGATGCTTCACTGTCTCTCCTGCAGATCTGGGTGAGGAGGCTGCTCTCTCCATGGGCATCATGCTCTGGGCAGGAATACTGGTCGTGGTTTTTATATTGTTGCTGCTGGCGGTCGACGTCACCTGTTACTTTGTCAACAAATGTGGCCTCATCATGTGCCTTTGTGGCAAATTTGGCACAGGGACCAAAGGTCATGACCTGGAAGAGGGAAAGGCAGCTTTTGTGTGAGTATTGCAGACAGTTTACTTCAGTTCAATGAACACCGTCTGGCCTGAGGGAGTCGTCAGTGCTGTTGACTCATGGCAGCATTAACATGAACTTTTTTTCCACATCTTCTCCAGGAAAGACGAGTCCAAAGAGCCAATTGTCCTTAGAGAAGATGAGTGCACAGCCAATCACAACGCAGCTGGGCCCACGGAACCTAGCGAAACCACACCGCTCACTGAGCCAGAGTAAGTCAATGCTGATGCACAGCATTGATATCATTTTACTCTTCCATTGTTTTGTTTTTTAGCCCTTTGTCTGCTGCACTCCACTTCAAAGAATGAAGACGTCATTCAACAGGACATTTGACCTTAATCCTGAACAGTCGATTCTTAAGTGGAGTCCATTCCTGCCACCACTTTTTACAACTTTATCCCTATTCAGGGGGAATTTCCTTCTACGCTAGTATCTGGATTTTCTTTTTCTTTTCTCATTACTAACAAAAAGGTGAAGCAATACCAGTTAAGAAACTAAACAGGAAGGGGTTTTCTTCCCTCTTCAGTGTGGTCAACTTGTAAAGCTATCCCGCAGCCTCTGCAGCTTCCTTTGACATTAGTGCACTCTAGAGAAATCAGACAGTCTGAGACGCACACTGGTACTGTTTACCCCTCGTAGGTGTTTTGGCGTGGTTCTGTAGAAATACTGAATATTCCTTTAAGTACATGCGTTCTGTGTGTATGTATGACTTTAATGTTCACTCACAGCATGCCACTTTCTTTGTTTTTCTTTTTCTCACTAGGTGTTAATGTTACTGTTCTTAGACGTTATGTTCTATGTTTGCATAGATTCTTTTTTCTTTTTTTACTGTAAAGTTAACTTATCTCCTCTGCATGCTTGTTTCCAAGCCACCCTTCCTCTGTCACAGTCACCCTGGCGTCTAGTCTGTGTGTCTCTGTTCTCTCCCTGCTCTCTCAGGCTGGCAGCTTCCACTGCTGCTCTGGCACCGGAAACGCTCTCCTCCGTAGCTACCAACTCCGATTCAGGCACCGCGACTAATGACCCTGCTCAGGACAGCCCCTCTAGTGAAACCACTACCCTCACTTGTAGCCTTTCCACCCCAGCCAACGACCCCTCACCTGCCCCTGTTCCAGCCCCAGCACCTACTCCAGAGTCTAATCCTACACCTGTCCTCCCTGCTTCTGCACTTAAGGCAAACATGGCTCCTTCAGTAGAACAAAGAGCAAGTGAAGCCCCACAGGAGGAGGAGACAGTGAACAGCACGGCTAGTACCCCAGAACAGACTAGACCCCAAAAATCTGGGACACCGATTCCACCTAAACGCAGGTACTCTCCAAAAATGGCTGCACTGAATGCTAAATGCAGTCCTCCAGTGTCTCCCCTCGCTACGTCCTCACCCAAGAAGTTTGCTCAGAGCCCACCTGTGAACAAGCCTCTGACGCCAGATGACAGTGTTGTCATAGAGGCAGAGACACCAGCGAAAACTGCCAAGACCCTGGAACGCACTGCCCCTCCAAAACCAGACCCAGATCTGAGAGCCACTGCCCCCGACTCCAGCGGGCTTAACCTTACTGCCCCTGATGTGAACAAACCAACAGAACAGTCTGTTGACAACATTCCTACTGCCAAAGATGCTGCCTCCGACTCTTCTTCAGTGTTTAACGGTGGTCTCGCAGAACCAGATGTAGATCATTTAGTTGCAGAAGTAGCTTCTCCCCCTCCCCTAACTTCCGTTCCCTGTTCCTCCCCTCCTACCTCTGATAGCCTACAGCCGCCTGCCTCCAACAACCTCACAGATCAGGCGGACATGTATGACAATATAACCCAAGACGTGGGACCAAGACGTATGGATTTAGACTTAGAGCTGACACGTGACACACCCGCTGACCTTATTAGCTTAGACAGCCCGCCCTCTGCCCCCACTTTGCCCAACGGAGACGGAGTAGACCTGACCCCCTCAGGTCCAGTTGTGGAGGCTTCAGAGACTCTGGCCAAGACTGCTGTCAACCTACTGTCACCTACTGTCAACGATGAGTACGGCTCCCTCTAGAGGTTTCTCTCTGTGTGTTAATGAATGTGTGTGTGTGTGTGTGCGTGCGTGTGTGTGTGCCCATTCATTCACCACCGCATCTTGCCATTGACCTTATAAGATACTGTGATGATGAGTCTGTGGTAATTACAAAGGTATAATTATTATCAGTGCGATGACCTGACGGTACTGTTACTGACACTGACACTTTCCACCGCTGCTACAGACCCTACTGGGAAAACAAACAGCCTCAAGACACGCAACCAATTATACAGCACTCACATGCCCTAAAAGCAACAGTCCATCGACGCAAAACACAAATGGGAGGAGAAATATTTCACTTACAAAAATCATGGCTACCAACAAGGATGGATAGAAAATGTTTGCAGCCATTCAAATGCAAGTTCATGAAAAAAACTCACAGATTTCAAAAGGAGTTTATGTAATTGAAATTCTACTGGAAAAAAGAATCCTACGCTATTGAATATAAATCCAGAGATTAGAAAATCAGGCAGCAAACCAGTGCCAACGCAGAAATGTGTGGATGGCAGAAACAAACGTAGATAAAGAAATTGGTACTTCTTGTAGGGAATTTGCAAAAAGCAAACATGTTGTTCACTTTATTTTTTAAGAACATCAAGAACAGTCAAAGAAAATCCTGTCATCAATCTCAAAAACAATTTTAATCTTCAGACAGTCCTAATTAGAAATAATTGTACTTCCTATCTATTTGTGAGGCAGCTTCCTACTTGATTTGTGCAGCGCTGTCAGTAAACATAATCTTGAAGAGTAATAGATGAAAAAAACAAAATATAAAGCATTGCTTTTTAGCGATGTTTTTATCATCAACCTTACAGAACTACTCAGAAAAATTGCAAAAGTAATTCATAAACTTTGAAGGAAGGACAACAAATGTGTACATTAAATGTTGTTCTGACTGTGTGACCTCCTGTGTCCAGCAACAGCAGTCAAGCTAATAAGAAAAGCACTTGGTAAAACGCTAAAAATTCACTATGACATGCATTACTGTCACCTACTGGGGCTTTTTTTTAAAAGAGGGACGTATCCTTGCTACTAAACAGAACTCCATTTACTATTAGCAACCCATAATAAAGACTCAGGAGAATAACGATTAATTCTACGAGTAATTAGCTCAAAAGAACCGACCGTCTATGCAGCCATGTTTTCACTGAGAGCTGGGATTTACTCATGCTCTTTCAATGTGCTAACAGAAAAAACACACATTAAAAAAAAACAAAAATCCTAACAGAAACATGCATGACTACACACAGAAACACACACACTCTCAGACAGAGTGTTTTCAGACAGAGGTTGAATTTAACTGATGGTAAGAAATGTTTTTCATTATTTGTTTGTCTAACTTGAACCGTTGTCGTTGAGGTGGTGATGAAATATGTAAGAAGACATTCAGCTTGGTGTTTTCCTACATATTGCGTGAGATGTTGGTGAGAATAAATGGTTGTCTGTTTTTCTTCCACACAAAGAACAGCAGATCTTTAAATTCAAACTTCCCCTTTTTTCCCTTCTATCTACAGAAAGGTTTTCCCTGACGAGAAAATCAAAGTGGACGAGGCAGCGGCTTCATCCATCGCCTCGACAGAGACCTCACCAGAACACAACAATGGCGTACTGTCAAAATCCACCAAGAGCAAAGCATGATGGGATGTAAAAAACACCCGCAGCCGTAATTCCCCCCAAAAAATTCTTCACAGCAACCGGAGAAAACACAGCAGGAGATTTGATTTTCTGTGCGATATATTCAGTACTTCCACTGCGTTTTCCCATACGAAATATTTAGTACAATCCTGTGGAGTTCATCTTTAAAGGTCATTAAGATTTATATTATTTTTTTATTCTGATTTGATTTAACCAGTCTAGGACGTTTCAAAAGGAAACTCTGAAGATTGCTTGATAAATATAAAGAATTTGACTTTTTTATTGTGCTGACAGTTTACCAGATGATAAGTATTGTAAAAATGACTATATGAAATTATTTTTTGTTATTTTAAAGCTCAGATGTAAAATAATTTCCTAATGTGTTCGTATGTTTAGGCTAGCCATATCACTAGCTTGTTCTGCATGTTTGACTGTGTGTCAGTTAATTGTGTGAATCCAGGGACATTACATTTCTCACAGATATAAGCTGACACAGACTTAATAGTACCCTGATTGAATAGTTTGAATCATTTTGTTTACAAATTGATGAAGAAAGCTAAGGGGTGGGACAGTATAAAAATAATTATTGATTTATTTAAAATATTTTACATAAAAAATAACTCTTGGTGGCTTCTCTCAAAAAACAAACAAAAAAACAAAAAACCAACCAACCAAAAAACCCCAGATAGAACCTTGTTAGTATTTGTGTTTTGATTGGTGTTCGGTACATGAGTCAACACGAGTCATAAGATGGATGACTTTAAACAGGTATGATATGACACTAACAGGATATAAGTGTTGGAATGTTGTTAAACTTCTTATTAAGACTAAACACGTACAGTGTGCAGACTTTCTGCCAGAAATTACCTTGTAGAATTCTGGCTAATGGCTGAATTGAGTTTCTTTCTGCTTTGACAAAAGAGGTAAATCCCATGGAGCTAGATGCTAACTGGCTAACTGTTGAGCTTTAAGAAAATACGTAGGTTTCTATTCACTTTTGGTTACACATTTATTGTTTGCTCTGGTTTCAGAATTATTCATTTCTGACGGTTTAAAAACTAGTTAAAATGTGTGTGAGAACTTAACTCAACACTTGACAAAGACGTGACACAACCAGAGAGACGTGTCTTTATGTCCTTTGGTCATTAAAACCGGACACCTTTGGAAATTAGAAAAAGAAATTCTGTGTATACTGTATGTGAACTTCTTTACCTACATGTTATATAATATGTAACTCTGTAGAGTCACCGGTGATTGTTTGTATTATTATTATTATTTATGTATTTATTACAAATATTCAAAGGCTTTCTTGATGCAAGCGTTCAGCCTGTTGCCATACTCGGTGCACGTACGTTGACAAAACCGCCCCTGTTTTGGTCTTTAACCAATCACAGTCTTGCTGCCTCGAACACACGTTGTATTGAATTATTACTTGACAAACCTACACAACACATTTACAAAATACATAAACTGTCCTTCAGACAATGGTGACGCGCATCCAACTATTTGTCTCTATCCTTAGTCAGTGTGTCCACAGCTGTGGCGTCAGCAGAACATAGACGCCCCCGTGTGGTTTTTAAAGGAATACATTTGGACAGGGCAGCTGTGTGTAATATCACGTCGCGCGTTTAGAAATGTTGCATGTTGACTTAAATTAATTGAAAGAATCTTAACATTAAACAATTATTAAATAATATCTACTAACACTTCCTTCAAGTTGGACACAATTGACGTATTGGTCAATCATAAAAATACAATTAAATACAACATTTTACACTATGCTTTATCAGCTTTTTCAACGTTTTACGCTTTTGTTACCAATCTGGTTCTAAATTATGACAAACCTCATTGATAATATCACGATGATAATGAAAATATATTAAGTTTAAGTTTGTTTAGTTTTTTTAATTGTACTTTATAGCAATAATATATATTGTCCCACCTCTTAAAGATAGAAAATCGTTATATAAATATACGCTAAATGTGTTGACAATTAAACTTTGTTTAAACGTTTTTAAACAATACATTTATTTAGCCCCACACAAAACTAAAAATCAATGTCATTGTATCAAATGTGCAAACAAATAATTGTTAGTGTTTTTTTAAGAAAGAAGCTAGAACTAAGAAATTAAAAATGATGAATTCTTCCTGACTACAAAACATCAAAAGGGTCTCTTAACTAATGATTTTTAAAGGGAAAAAATAAATATACACAGTACTTGATTACTTGAGTACTTGTTTTTTAAGGGATAAAACAGAGATTTCCATTCCTGCCTGCGAGCTTGTGCACTGTGCCTGTGTGTCGGTAGACTGTCGTGTCATTGGTTTATATGATAAAGTGTAACCTTGTTGTAAGACATTATAGCCTCTTATTTTCTAAATTTCATCAGCTGCAGTAATAAAAATGAATCGTATGATGAATTGAAAAACATGATCGTTATAACGACTGTAGTTTGTGAACATATTTTTTTCTGGTAACGGCACTGAAGCTAAAGTAAAAGGAAGAGTTTTTTGACAGTTCAGGAAACACAAGAAGTTAAAGAAAAATGTAGGTGTAAAGACTAATGGAATCAAACTGATTTTTTTTCCCTTTTAAGCCATTGTATTTCGGGGTCTTGGAAATGCATGATAACTCATGAAACTTTGTTCAAGTTTTAAAGACAGAATCATTGGTTTTGTTGTGTGTGGCTGCTCCCCCCAGCTATAAAAAAAATAAAATATAGTGTGAACCAATTTGGGTCGGCATGTAACGAACAAAGGTGTGTTTTTGGAGCTCTCTTCTGAACCTCATGGGAAGTCAGCTACACTGTGTTCACTGATCAATAATAATGATTGTTGTAACTGTGAGAATTGGGGCAAAAAGAAGAACACAGTGATTCTTGATCTCAGTTGTTGCCCCCTCCCCCAATTAGGAACTTTCTGCAGCTGATGCACCGACCTTTAGACATATGTATCAGGTCAGTACAGGCAGAAAGTCTCTTCTCAACCCAACAAAACCTCAGCTGTTGAAAAATGTGTGTCAAATTTATCCACTCTGATAGTTCACCCTCAACATTCAGTGTCTGCTTCTAGAAGATTCATTACACCTCCTTATATTTTATTGTGTATTCTTTGGCATTTGTGTTTGAAAATAAAAAAATATATGCTTGGTTTATTAATTACAGATTAATAGAGTGTTTCAATTGATGCTTTGTGACTATTTGACTGACATGGACAGTATGTGCATGTATTTAACCTACATGCACAACTCGACCTACTTGACCAGTAGGAGGTGCTGTTGTTTAAAAGATCGTATACGTATTCCAGTTAAAACAAGTCAAATTTAAGTCAAAAAAGGAAAATACTGTTAGATTTTAAAGTCAATATTGAATTACCTTCTTCCAAACATTTACATGGGATAGAAAAAGAATGCATTGGCAAGAAAGAGCAAAATTTGTTCTGGTTAAAAGGTTACTGGTTGATTTTTTCGTTATGAATTAAAAATATAGATTTATGTTATAATATATAGTATATAACATTTTTTGAAAATATTTTTTGAAACATTGGCAATTGGTGACGACTTTTAAAAATGCTCTACCTGTTTGGTCATTTTGCTTGTTACCGCAACAGCTTCCAAGATAACTTTTAATTTTTTGATTTTTTAACTTTTTAAAACAGATTCTTAAACGTACGTATTACTGAGATTTTAAATTTCCTTTAACAGATTTATAATTGGTCGAGAGACGTTTCGAATGTTTTTCTTTTAGCCACTAGATGGAGACAAGCCCCCGTGTTTTGTTGGTTTAGCTCAGTGCCGTACTGACGGGAGAGTTGGCAGGGCGAACAGGTTGTGTTTGTTTTGAAATCCGTGAGCAGTGAAGTAAACACCTGTTACATCAGGAGTCGGGTTTTTGTGAAAGTCAAATTCCCGCTCAGATGACCTCCAAAATGACTGTGTGGGTGACATGGTGACTTTTCCAGCGGAGCTCTTCTTCCTCTCCAAGCCTCCGCTGTGACATTTAGTCTCCGGGCAGACAGCTGGTCAGACCTGACTGGCCACAGCCTGCTGTAGTCTGCCCGCTGCCCCCTCTGTCTCTGACCGTCTCTGGGTCACGTGACGTCCATAAAATGTCCTGTTCATTAAAGATAAGGTTTAGTTGTCTTTATTTCTGGCAGCTCACACTAATCACAATTCAGATCACACCCAGGTGCCGGTGGAGTCACGTGACTGTGGATGGTGATGTGACTGGATTGATGGGGTAAATGAAGTCTGGATGAAAGTCTAGCTGAAGTACGGATGTGTGGATGGCTGGGTGATGGATGGATGGAGATGAAGAACACTCACAGCCATGACGTCTCCACTGTGATGATGTGAAGTCGGCCAAGTCAGCAGCCGGCGACGGCGTTCACACCGAAAGTGTCAAATGGCCGCCTTCAAAGTAAAAGCTGAGACGTTGGCGACGAGAAGTGCATTAAGGACAAAACGCTGAGCATATTGTGTCCTAATAAAAACATTTCTACGTTTTTCTGGCAACTAAGGGTTGAATCAGAACTATTTATGGATTAGAAATATTAAAAACATGGAGACGGCAGTATTAGCAAAAGCAAAAAGTTTTTCAACTTTGTAAATGTTGTAAACCTATACATTAAAATAAAACGCAGGTTAAATGCAATTATATATTACTATGTATAAGAATATAATTAAGTTTTTTAAAAACCCTGACCATAATACTGTTCTTTATAAGCACACCACCACTCAGTATTAACATTATGCATACAAGGGTTTTAAAATGACTCTTTTAATTTTCTAAAATACTAACACAAATTAAACATTACTGAAGGTCCAAATATTCAAACAAAAATGTAATCAGTGTGGTGGCTCACAATGATGCGAAAATCTTTTGTTTTGTATTTGTTGTAGATGTTGTATTGACGTCCCCGCGTTCGGGGTCTCTTATTTTGAAAGTGTTTGCAGGAAGTATCGGGCACCTACACAGCTGCTGTGACAGTCGCGTCTCTGATGATTTTTGGACGCAGCAGCGCAGAGTTTCTGTCAAGTGTGTGAAAGCATGATGTTGCCTGGATAATCAGCGGAGGACGTGAAGGAGGACTGAGGTGAGACACTGATTCTTCATCACTAAAACCATCATCGTCATCATCACTCGAACTTCTCTTCAGTTTATTTTTTCTCTCTCTCGTACACGTGTGAAATGCAGGTCAGTTGTGTTGCGCGTCTCCAGACATTGACTGCACACGTGCGTTAAGTTCCCTCGCTCCAGCGTGATTTATTCCCGCGGGTGAAGTTAAGACGAAGACGTCTTTGAATGTGTGCATGTGTCCTTTGAACTGTGGCACTGGGCGCAGACGGTGACTGTGTGCTGCCGTCGCGGTGTGTGTGTGGATGATGAAGGAGCAGTTAGTGGACACCTGATGTTCCTGTGGCATCAACACACACCGGGGTCTGTGCCGCACACCGAGGGGGGACGTCATCCTCACCCACGGTAGAGGGAAAAAGTTGTTCCGAACATCAATTTATAACTGGCCGCTACGTGTCTTATCCCTAATATGAGCGGATTAATTTGTGCGTGCGTGTAGGCTAGAGAGAGAGAGAGAGAGCGGGAGAGAGAGAGAGGGAGGGAGGCAATAAAGTCAGAGGGAAATATATTTGATGAGCAACATGAAGACAAAGACCAGTCCTGTTTTTTGACCAGTAAGATTTTGGTTTCCCAGTTGGTTGTAGGTCACCAGTGTGAGAGGACGTGCAGTGGAGTGACAACAAACCTTAGATCAAAATTAAAGTAGTGACAGAGATGCTACTTTAAGAGCTGGCAATTGTTTTTCTCATTTTTTCTTCAGTTTTACTGCATTTTTGAAGTATTTATTTTTGAAGTGCTTGTGGTCCGAGGACATGTGGACCCTAAGATTCTGTCTCACGTCTTTTGCCTTCTCCTAATGAGACAGAAGCTCATATCTGAGACTAGGAAAGGTAGGAAATGTCATCTCAGGACAACAACCTCAGTGGTCAGTAGTCTCTCTACGACCAGGCATTAATGACACTCATAAAACAGTGGTTCGAGGTCATGATATCAGGTCATCCCAGGGTTAAAGGAACGTCCTGAGGTCAAGCTTCTTTTAGTGGACATATTTACGAGGCTGAGTATTGCAGTACATGTATTCTTTGTGTACTGACAACTACAGCAGACGTTCTGTTCTGTAATGTTCGTGGCATTCTGTGGTAGACTCTGTCGGTGATTACCAACTGGTGGCCCGTGGGCCTACTCGGTCCGGTCCTTTCTGTAACTGGGTTTCAAAATAAACGTCAAATAATAATCATGTTAGACAAAAATGTGATTTTTATTTCATTTTATTTGAGTGTCTGTCCAGAACATTTCCGCTCCTCCACCGTTACAGCTGATGTCGTGTTGACCTGAGCTTTTTGAAACTCTTCTGAGCTTCTTGTTAAACTCAGGATTAAATTGTGAATGGTGTGATGTTTATTTGAGGTCTCATGTGAGCTGATTTGGTTTAAAAAAGGCAACAGCTTCATGAAGATTACCAACAAATAGTTAAAAAAAACCCTGTGTGCTTAAGTCCCTCTGCTCACATGCCTGCGTGTGCGTGTGAGTGAGTGAGAGACATGATAGATTGGAGCGTCACCTCTCAGTATGCAGACGTTATAACAGCTACGTGACTGATCTCAACGAGACCCTCAGAATAATCAGCCGCAGCAGAGACGGTTGTTTTGTGCTTATCGACTTGTTGCCAGCCTCTGGTTCTTAATTACAAAAAAAGTCATCAGCCTCATCAGATTAATCTCACAAAATGATCACCACGGACTGAATGTCTTGGTTGATTTCTCAAGAAAAGTAAATGTTTTCTTCTTCATTGTAGACTCACAGTGGACGACTGAGTCCGACCTAAGGCCTAACACTGCTGCCTTCTCCTCTCCACCTCCACAGACCTACAGCTGAAGGCAGGAGAACCACACCTCATGCTCGCACTCAGCAAAACATCCAGTGGAAACGGGTCTGACAAACATGGGTGTGCTCCAGCTCCACAATCCCACTCACCCCAGCACGCTGCTGCAGCGGGCCAACCAGATGCGCCTCACCGGAACCTTGTGTGACGTCATCATCACGGTGGACGGCCATGAGTTCCCGGCGCATCGCACCGTCCTGGCCTGCACCAGCAAGATGTTCGAGATCCTGTTCCACCGCAGCAGCCTGCGGTATGCCCTGGATTTCCTGTCCCCTAAGACTTTTCAGCAGATCCTGGAGTACGCCTACACCGCATCGCTCCAGGCCAGCGCCGAGGACCTGGACGACCTGCTGTACGCTGCCGAGATCCTGGAGATCGAGTATCTAGAAGAGCAGTGTCTTAAAGTTCTGGAGACCATTCAGGCAGAGGAGAATGAGGAAGTGGCCATGAGGAATCAAAGCTCAGCCGATCACGGTGACCACGGCCGGGCCCGGCACTGGAGGCACATGCTAATGGCCAAGAAGCATTCCATACATGACAGAACCACGCTAACTCCTCCCACCACTCTGCACCACCTGGCGCTCCATCACATGGCAGAGAGAAGCTCTCCTGCTCCAGACTCTAAGGGTGTCTCAGGATTGAGCCCCAAACTGGATGTGGAGGTGGACATGGAACAGTGTCGGCAGCAGCACCAGCAGCACAGGGCAGCGATGTCCCGGTCCATGTCCCTGGAGCCCACCACCAGTGTAAAATCAGAAGACATGCAGGTGGATGAAGTCCACAGCTGCAGCGGCCTGTCATCCAGCAGCTGTAACAGGAGTCTGTCCAACCAACCCAGAGAGGAGACCCCGGGGACACCCCTGCGCGGCAGTGTCATCACCAGCGCCCGGGAGCTCCACCCGGGATCTGAAAACGGAACGCAGGTGCTGACGAACTCCCTCGACTGTTTTCCCTCCATCTACTCCGTGCCCTCCCACCAACTGGGAGACGGGATGGTGTCCATTTCGGTGACCCCATCCCTGGGCATGCCACTGGACCCGAGGACGTACGGCGGCCTTCTGCACCAAGGTGTGCTGCACAGGGAGCTGCTCAGTCGACTGGGCCAGTTTGCAGCAGGGATAAGGCAGGAAGGCCAGACTCAAGGCCAGCAGTGCTGCAGCCAGTGTGGACTGCAGCTGCCCAGCAAGCAGGCCATGGAGCAGCACAGGTAAAAACAACAACAACAACAACAACAACATTATCCCTAAAGTCCACCATCTACTAAAATAGTCATTATTTTACATTTGGACCTCAGTGTTAAAACATATTCTTTTTTACATTTGAAATCTAAACACATTTCTACCTCCAACACAGTTAATGAAGAGCAACAGTTTGGACACCTGTAGTTTCCTGACAGGTTGTTGCCCCGTTTTTAAGATTCCAGATTTTTTATAATACATTTGAACAGGTGCAGAAACAAATGTATTTTTATGTTTATTTCTGGCACAGGTACAGTAAAATAAAACAGTCCTCTATTTTTGGTTACTTTTAGTTTTTTTCTAACAGTACCCCTAAATAATGGGCCCCTAAATAATAATAAAAAAATACATGTGTATATATATGGGCATATATATATATACATATACATCTGTATAGAATTACAGTGGGGACCCTGAGATACGAGTTTAACCCGTTCCACAGCAGAACTTGTATCTCCATTGCATTTTCCTCATTAAAAATAACTAAAAACCAATGAATTTGTTCCAGCCCCACACAAAAATATATTATTCATTATTTAAATGAAACCCCACATCTGAACATCAAAAACCTAGATATAACCAACAATATTGATAATATAAAATAATAATAATTGAGAAAACATTTTATATTAGTGTTATAAAAATGGGTAAAATAGCCCAGCGAGGGACGGTGAGTGAGACAATGCAACAGTGGAGCCCTCGTATCACAAAAATACCGTTTGTATTTACTCTGTTGCCTGAGTGAGTGTTGACTGTCGGGACCAAGGCTCTGGATCTCGAGGTGCAGTTTTTCATATAGAAGTTGTAGAATTGTTTGACTTTGTCAACACATTGAGATAAAGGCAGAGTTTAGATAATGATGATGATGATGATGCAACAGCAGAAGTGTTAATTCAGTCCCAGGGACGGCCGCAGCTGTGGAGCTCACAGTTGATTAATTAGGACGCATTTGAAATTGAAAGTGTGTTTTAGTGTAGTGTAGCATTGTGCTAGGTTGTCTGTCAGGCTATTAAATATGCACTTGTTGACATCGGTGGAGAACAGCCAGCAGGGACCGGACCTGAGTGTTCAGATCAGTGTGATGTTACTTGAACCATTGGACTGTCATTCGTTTGATTTGACCTCTTAGTTTTATCTCAGCTTCAGTTTAAAGTCATATATAATAATACATGGTGCAGCCCCCCGTGGAAAGACCAGCACCAGTTCATGAAGACTAAAACTAAAGGGGTTTTTGTTACAGTGAACTTTAACGTTTGTGTTGTCGTCAGATGCTTGGATATTTAATACTGAGAAGGATAAAAAAAAGTCAAACCTTGGAGACCATTATGACTCATAATGGAGAACAAACAGACAAACTGTTGACACAGTGGCCGCACCAGTGGAACACGAATCTTAGCGGAGCAGCCCTAACAAGTAAAGCAGCATCTTTCTTGTAAGAGCAGAATGTGTAAGAAATCAACTTTATTTTTTTAAACCCTATGAAACCATTTGTATCATATTGGCTACACAAGCTTCAAGGGTTATATGTTTTCAAAATCTTATGGACAAAATTCGTTTTTTATTTCTCAAATAAAGAAGAGGAAGAAGCTCCCTGAAAATGCTCAACCTATCAAATAACATACAAAGAAAATATTGTTAACAAAAATATGTTTTGAGTAACTGTAGTTTGACACTATACAGGTGAAAGGAATGATGTATATGAGTGAGTCTAAATGTTAAAAAAAGTGACAGGTGGTGAACTTAGCCATGCTAATAAAAAAGAAATTAGCAGGAACTTAGCCAAGACGTTAGCTTGAATTAGACCTAGCAGTAGCTGAAAGTTAACCAGGAGATCAGCCATAATGAAACGCTTTGAATCATCATTCATGTTTAAAAACCTGCTCCTGACGCCCGTGCTAATCCTGGTCGAGCTGTTTGCAGAAGTCTGTCCAGGTACGCTCCACTCAGAGACTGACTCACCTCTCCTCCTTTGGAAGAGCGTTGTAATACGTGACCCACTCACGATTCTGGTGGCAGCCTCGTCTCACTCTGTGTTTGCGGCTGACATTTTTAAACGGTGATGAGTCTGTGCAGTGAAACAGAGCATTGTGGGGCATATTTAGTGAAGCGCGTCCGTCCTGCAGACAGACACGCCGACGTCCGCAGGTTGAAGAACTTGCCATGACAGGCTTAAGTAATGGAGTTGCTGCAGGTCTGTGGACAGGTCACTAAGCATCGACTGTGCATTGTACAGCTGCGTATGGTCCTTGGTCAGGTAATATCGCCATCTACTGGTGGAGTCTGAGGAAAAAAGAACTTTCATAGGAATACGTAGTAAAAGATCTGAATGCGAACATTATTGGCGTCACCTCCCTCTGTAGGTCTTTTAATAATATCAATAATAATCATTTGAACTTTATTAATCCCACAGTTGAGAAACTCAAAACTAAACTTGTGTTATCTGATCTGCTGCATCAGGTGTCAAGTGTGTGGTTTTTCTGGGAATCAAACCCAGGACTTTCTGCATGTTAGGCAGGCCTGCTGACAGCTGCATTATGGAACCAATATTTAGAACCAGTTTAATATTTCAATAGTTCATTTCAGACTTTTGCTGTTGCTTCTTGTGTCCTTCAGACTGACCATGGACCATTAATGGGTCACAGACCAGAGTTTGGCCATGATTGAATATCATGTGTTTGACTCTACAGTGGGTGATGACATGACCATGTCACACACAGATACTGTGATCTGATCATTTATGCAGCCCGCAGTGTTTTGTCAAATCTTTCTCTATTCTTTCCTCTCAGCACCATTGTTTTCTGTGCATGTGTGTGTGTGTGTGTGTGTGTTACAGGGTTTAGCGTGTGTTTCCATGTCTGGCAGTGCTGCTGGGCAGACGGAGGCACGTGCGCGTGTCTGCACTCTGAAATTAGCCAGATATCCCATTGTCTGTGTTCTTTTAGCATTCATGCGTAGTGATTCACAACTCTGAGAGCCTCTTTACACTAATGATGTTGCATTCACTGCAGAAGGATTCTTCTGCTGGTATTTAACACACACTTCTCTTGTCACAAGGACAATGATGCCTGTGGGTTTGGGAGACGTTTGACTGAAAAAACAAGACAGTTTTTTAAATCCAGGAGTGCATTGTTCTTTTTTTAAAAAACTCTTTTCCTGTTTTTTTTTTTTGACTCACATTTGTGTTTGCTGTTCACAGGAGGCTGCATAATGAAGAGAAGGGCCATGGCTGCGAATACTGTGGCAAACATTTCCAGGACAGCATGAGGCTACGAATGCACATGCTGTCTCACACAGGTACTCAGTAACTCTCACACTCATGAAGCCTTTTGATTGTTTGGCCTTTCACGTGCACCTGTTCACGCTACACCCCCCCGACCCCCCCACCCTCACCCCCTCTGCCCTCCCTCCTGCCCACAGTCATTGCTGTTCTAAATTCTTGGATCATGCTTCCCTTTCCCCGTCCACGTACCGCTGCCTCTCCCTCCCTTCTTCCCTCCCCTCCTCCCTCCCTCCCTCCCATCCTTTCTCTTGATGTGTTTTTGGAGAGACCCTGGCAGTTCACCAGTTTTGCCCCTTTTCTGAGTGATGACATCATCAGCTGCAGGCGGGCCTGGGTGTTCTGCCAGTGTTCCAGCGCGTGTGATGGCTTGCTTGCTCGCTCACTCGCTCGCTCGCAGATGTGTGTCCAGGAACACACTGTACCCAAACGCAGACTTAATCAGACCTGACTGCTTCTCCCAGCTACTTAATCCAAAATAGAGAAAGAGGAGCAGGACTGGAGGGGTGGTGGGTGAATCACGGACTAAAAATAAACTCCAAACAGAAATATCATATATTAAAAATGTGGTTCCCAAATGGAGGGTTTGGCCCCACAAAAATGATACGGACCTAAAATGAATGGATTGCTTAGCATTGTGACTTTAAGAAAACTGTTGGACTTAGAAATCCCATTTATCTCTCCACTGTTGCTGTTCTATGAAAATAAAAAAAATTATATAACTTTTGGTCCATTTTGAATGGTACGCCAAATTAATAATGTCCACATTTATTCAATAATGTGTTATTTTGATAGGGACCGATTTTGTGTAAAGTAGATTGTGTGAAAAACCTGAGTTTCCTCATAAAGTTAAACAAAGAAAAAGACATGTAAAAAAAGAAGAAAGTCTATGAAAAGATTAATTAATAATAATTAATAATTATTTCTCCAGTCTCCTCAGGTTGGGGTCACACAGCTACAGCTGTCACTGACACTGCTTTGACTTTACTGTTTCTCCTGTCAAGACCTTTGAGCTGAGCCCTAGCGTGAAGCCGTAGCACATCACCGTGCTATGACGACGGCCCAAAGTGACCTTGACTGCTGTAGAACAACTGGGTCGTGATCGAGAGACTCGGGTAGAATGAGGCCGCCAGGGCTTCAACATTTAAGAACCACTGATGTGGAAGATTTGTCGACAAGGCTGAGGCACTTGTTCTGGATTCATATGTAGCTGAGAGATGAAGAAAACAGAATCTATTTCTCTAAACTTCACCTGTGCCGACAACCTCACCCACCCTCCCAAATCCTTTTGGCTCTACCCTTTGCAGAACCCCAAAAAAAAAAAACCACAAGGTGTCTAGCGTTTGTCACACACCTTGACAACAGACGAGCCTTTTCTCTTTCCATCTGCCTTGACTTCCACCCAAAAAAACCCCACCTTAAAGCTTATTTGAATTTTCTGCGAATACATAAACTCTTCCCTTTCCTTCGACATGACATCCTCACACAAAAAAGAAATATGGATCTAATTTCTTTTGTCACTGTGTATTTGGGGTATAGCAGCCTTAGATCCTGCTGGTTGCTAAGGAGCAAGTGCGCCGCCGCTCTAATAGGCTGATTTGGTATTCAGCTCAATGCCGACTCTTATTTTGGTATGCCAGACAAAGTGTTTTGATGGAGGACGATTGCAGCCGCGTCTGGAGACAGTTTGATGGTTTATGGATGAGAGAGAGCACACTCTGTGCCTTTGACTGCACAAGACAATACACTGTGTTCTCGTCCTCCCTTTATCACCCCATCGCACACATACACAGGACATGCTACATCAGGAGCTGCTCTTTTACGTGCTGTCTTATTTTATTTCCTTATTATTGCGCAGTGTAACAACCATCATCAGCACGCGTAATTCCCGGATCTGAAGAAAGGAAATCTGAAACGACGCGACTGTGGGATCGTGTCATTTACATTTTATCAAACGAGGTCGGTGAAAAGACAAATCATGTGAACAAATGACCCCGTTTTCTCAGGCCACATTGACACCATTGTGGGCACGCAGGGCCTTGGCACCGGAGGAAGGTGACGAAGACGGATGGACTTCGGAGAGACGTCACTTTTTGTATTAACCTTGTGTTCCCATATTGTACCTTAGTATTTTTCACCCAATCATTTTTCATTTTTTCCCCCCAAAATAAAACATTTCGAGGAAACCTTGGTCAGAGTCAGAAGAGGTAAAGATTAAGATTCTGCTCCTGTTAGCGAGGGAGAAATCCCATGGTCACCTACTGTGTCACCATCGTCTATCGTTTGGCCGATATTATTTGACAGCCGTGCAGTAGAGTAATGAAAACAGATGTCATAGTGGTGGATCAGGACTGCATGGGGTAAACAAACAAACAGACTTTTGGAGTCCCCGTTTTCACCAGCGAGCATCGTCGGCCCTCATGATCAATGATAAAGGAGACGTTTTTGTTTTTGATTTTTGTTCCTTATTTTGGACTTCTTATGGCGCTTTGTCCCAGAGGCAATGTCTCTGTTATTGGTGTGGAACCCCAGGGTTCACCTCCTGGGCAAGATCGAATCCTGGTTAGAGCGGTTGGTACTTTCCAGTGGACTCACCACCTGCAGGAAGGTTGAGGGGGGTTGGTTCGGTGCAGTGGGATTTGGGTGGCGGTCGTGGAGACTGCTGCCCCTACCTGGTACCTGGTAACGGATAAGTGGATGAAAATGGATGGATGGATTTTGTTCCTTCTTTCAGTGGAGTCATTGCAGCTCCTTGAAATTTTGTATGTTGCACAGACTCACTACACCTCTCCACAAAGTCATCACAGTAGGTGCCTTTGACGTCTCCTTCAGAATCTTTATGGTACGTCTACCAAGATGACGGCTCTAGAACCCTGAACCCAGCTCTAAAACTCAGCCTTTTTTGACTCTAACTCTAGCTGTGTTTTCACTCAGAACAGATTCTTTACACAGTGAGCAGAGCCACCGTTTGAGTCGTCAGGTCTAGACGGGTCAAACCGACACTGGAAAGACTTCGGGCGCTCGTTCAGTCTTTTCAGTCTGAGTTTATGACATACTGTGAGCATGGCACAACAGTCAGATTAATCTGCATAATTATCACAACTCTGCTGCTTTTTAGAACAGGAGCAAACGGTCAGATAAGAATCTGACCGTTTTGTTGTGAATATTAATATTAATATTAATATGATATTAACAACCGTGTTGGGGATCACTGACGCTGTCTGTCTGTCTGTCTGCATCACAGGAGTTTAGAGGAGGACCTTGTTGTTGTTTTTTTAAAGGCTGTAGCACACAGAGTTCCCAGAGCCAGTGGGTGTTTTAATGAGTCATTTTAACTTCATTTAAAGCCAGCTGAGCAGAAAATAGATCAGTGAATAAGCCCAGGGGCCAGTATGGATCTGCAACCGATTTCCATCTCTGAGGGAAAGCCAGCCCACACTCAAACAGCTGTGTGTGCATGTGTGTGTGTGTATTGCTGTACATGTCGGTCCGTGCAGGTGTGAGGTGACGGCGGAACAAAGATCGCAAGAGTCTCTGTCGGTACTTATCGTCTCCGGGAGGACAAACAAGCGTGTCTTTAAGGTGGACTGGGACCTTTACTCTCGGTGCTAGCAGCAGCAGCAGAGAATATTCAGTCTGAGACGGTGTGCTGCTGCTGTTTTATTTGGATATAGGGGTGAGCTTCAGGCAGGAAGTGTAGAGAACAGCCAGTCCTTCTGTGGCCTCTCAGACAGACAGTCTGCTCACTGTTCACAGACTGATAACAGGGCACGGTAAATAAAATCCTTCAGCTGCGCTTCTTCTATCATGTTCCCCTACATTTCCTTGTAGGAACACAGGGCCGTAGCCTTTTCCCTCGCTCCTGATGTTTAACGCCGGTCGAACAAGTGTTTTTGGTGTCTTCAGAAACAGAGGCCACTCTTGATTTGATTCTCTGTTCACTTCATGTGTAATTTACATATATAAAAAGAGACGTTTGTCAAAATAAATAATTTCAGTTGTGATTTTGTCTGCAGCTCCTGCCGAGGCGCTGGTGTGTGATCAGTGTGGAGCAACTTTTTCCTCAGAGGATGCGCTGGAAACTCATAGGCAAACTCACACAGGTACCAGCCACACACACTCACACACAGACTGTCCCTGTCCATAATGTCCACGGACAGGGATGATAAAACACAAACTAACCCTAAAATGGCCAGAAACAAAATCCAGAGTTCAGGGGAGAAATGACCTGTTCCTTTGTGTCGTGGTAGGAAAAAAAAAGTTTAAAAAAATAGCTGATGTGTGTTAAAAATGTCAAAATCATCCAGGATAATTTATCAACACAATATCATCCTCCTGTCTGTCCAGTCCAACAGATCATCTGTCCTCGGCTGTCTCCCATTGACCATGTCTCTGCCCAAATATAAATGTCATGTTGAATGCCTGCTGCTCACAGACTGGATTACTTTCTCCTATCTTATGACTAATACTGTGTTGAAGTGAAGTACCGATTTAACAGTTTGAAAACAGTGCTTCAATACAGCTGGCACACACAAGTAGTGTTTCCACACAATGTATATTTGTATATATTATTGAAATATATAATGCTGCGACCATTGCCAATCCAGCTTATTTTATGTTATTTAACATAGGTTTGCTCTCCTGCAAAACCTTTACATTTTTGAACTGTTGGTGGGAAAAAAATGCAAAAAAAAAAAGAAATTATATATATTTGAAATCTTTAATAACAACACGTAAACCACTGTTATCATCAGATTCCTAAGTTTTCGATGGTACGTGAACGCACCATGTGTGACAGCTGCAGCTTCGACATGACAAGGCACAATCTGTGTAGGCCTGACAGTTCTGCTTCTTAGCATGTCGCTAGCTAGTGCATTCTTGTTAATACTTTTATTTTGCTTAACATACATAATAATTATTAAATAGTTAATTAAAGTAAGAAGAAACATTCTAAAGTCCCTAATGCTAATGCTGTTTGGTGGGGCATTGGCTTGGAAAAGTTTGGGAAGCCTTGGATTATAAAATAAATGTCTGAAGTGTCACAGTGACATCTTGAAATGGTCAGGCTGACCTGACCTCCTGAGGTTAGAAGACAGATTTTATTTTGGCTCCTTATGTTTATGTTTAGTAATTCCTTGGCACGGTGGCCATCTTGAGAGGTCATGGCCTCAATAGCCTGGTTTACTACGTGGACAGCTGTAATTTACACACTCCTAACAAAGTGAATCCAACCTGTAAATCAGGAGGTTTTGTTTCTAAAATAATCTGTCAAAGATTTGGTGGAAAGGGCTAACACCAGGTGTGAACTGTGTTTAGCCTTGACAGCATGCCCTGAGCTGTTGAGTAAACCGTGACTATGAGACTTGTGATGGTGGGTCTAAATTTGGTTGTCCTGCTGGCTGGGTTGAACTGTTCCTGTCACGATGCTCCATAATTTATCAAAGAGGAGGTGGAAGCCTCGCTCACATATGATCCGCTAATGTGTCCTGGCATCCACAGCCACTGTTTCCTGCTTCACCACAGCCTCGCGGCGCTGGCATGACACAGTCCCACAGCTACGTGACATCGTCATCCTCAGCTGAGGAGCTGTTTCCTTTACACACCCGTACAACAACACAAACAACAACAACAGTAGAAATTACAGCCCGCGACTGATAGAAAACTTGGAATTTGTGGAATTAAAAGGTCAGTTTCGAGGATTGTCTTTTCACATTCAGGCTGAGGTCATGTCATCAATGAGAGGGAGGGAAAAAAAAACAGGTCTGTCACCTGGACCGCATCTTAAAACTGTCAAAGTTTTCAAATTGTCTGTTTCTACATGACACTTTTCTAGTCCTGGTGAGCACTGAACACCACAGACATCACTGTCAACCTGCTGTCTACCAAGTCTGGAGTCAAACCTCCAACCCTGCCATGTTAAAACACCTGCACTGTCCACTGAGCTCCAGCAAAAAAATTGGTTTAAAGAACAACTAACTAAGTTTTATTAAGTATTTCACAAGTCTTGACTAGGTATTATAATATGGCTAAACTTTATATTAACAACAATGTTTTGTCCATGTTTTGCCCAGTGGACTGAACTATGAAGCTATGAACCCATAAATGTCTTAGATTTAAAAATACACCAGTCAGAAGGTCTGAGCTGGTCATCCAACTCTGACGTACTGGAGACAATGATGTGTTCTTGCTTTAACATGAGTGGTTGGTCACAGCTGAACACATGAACATTTACAAAAACAAAAACTCAACCAAACCAGCAGTGATATTGTTTTTTTTCCGATGGTGCGTTTGTCTGACAGTGTCTGAATCCACACCTTTTCTGCTGCTGTTAGAGAAAGGTGATAACCCTCTCAGGAGCCCTGGCATGTAACTGTAACTCCAGGTGGCACACACACACAGTATGAATAGTTAATGGCTGTGGACATGGAGGGGTGTTAGCGATGCCCAGAAGTTTCTACCCTTATCTCCCAAACTTGTAAACATCCCAAGCTCGGTTTCAGCTTTGGCACTGTATCCAGAGCAGGGTACAGGAGGGCATTACTCTCACATTTTGTCATGATCTCAGCTCTGCCTGCTGTGACGCACGGCCCTCTTTACTGACTCTCACACAGTCCACCACATGTGCCACAGGTAATTCAATCGCGGCGCCACCTTAAGGTGATCTGCTATAAACGTTCAACCCGGCCTTTGTTTCTCTCTCAAACTTGTGATCTTTCCTAATGTTTTTCCACGGCGGCCAAGTGACTCTGCGGGCTTTAACTTAACTGTTCGACCCACTGTGTTTCCTTTTATCAGATTAACACTTCACAGAGCCTCAGCGACTGCACCAGTGCTGTCCACCTTCACTGCAGGGGACGTAATAGCACTCGGGGGAGACCTTACTCCAACACCCGGAGATAGTTTGGCACCGGCAGCAGTTTACAGTTTACAGAGTCACTTTAGCCATTTCGATATGTCAGAGGCTAACGCCACGGGTCGCTGGAGTTGTGGAGATCAAAGTGAGAGGCGCGGGTGGGGGGAGGTGAGGATTAAGGACCGGAGGAGGGGGGGACATGGGCAGGGGGTACATAAGGACTTGCTGCTGCTGTTAGTGCTGGATGTCAGCACTGAGAGGAAAACAACAAATGTGCTGCAGTGTGCTTCTCACCACAGCACCGTCATACTCCCCTCTGACCTACTTGTCAGTGCCCAAAATAAAAAAAAATAGATCTGTCTCCGAACTCTCACAACAAATGGGTTTTGTTTCATTAAAGCTTGTCAAGTCTCTGGGAACACAGGCTTCCATTACTGAGAAAAAAAACCGAAGACTGTTGTTCTGTTTTCATTAAAATATATCACATATTTCATGCAGGGACTTGGACAAATCATATAAGAATCATATGAAAATAATGTGCTGAATTGGTTCAAAGGGAGAGGAAGTAGATGGTGTTGTGCTCATGACACAGGACTTTTCCTTCTGTCAGTGGGTTTCACTGTTTGTAAGATATTGGTGACAGTTCACAGTGTGATACGTACACAAAAATAAACCCAGACTGTGACGTTGGAAATAGACTCATCTGATAGGAGGAACTGACGGTGTGTCAGTTAGGAATTTAAAAAAGAAATTAAATTGACATTTTTGTCTTATAGGATACAATTAAACACACTTTGAGGCAAACGTAGGTTGACATCCAAAAAACAGCGAGGTTGCTGCTGATGAAGTAAGTGGATGATCCAAGTCAGCAGACCTCAACGTAAGACTTGTACCATTGAACTGAAGTCAAGGTTTAATTGTATCATAAAACAAAAGTGTAATTAACTCAACTCATTAAATAAGGCACTGAAACACACAGCACCATCTGCAGTGTAGAAAGGGAAACTGCAGGCTCTACAATGTGTGAAATATGGGCAGAGTCGAACTGGTTATACTGTTGATACACAGGTTTAGTTGCTAATTTTGATGCCCTTTAATTACAACTTAATTCATTAAGAAATTAAATTAAATCAATTTAAATTGACCTGCTCACAACATAACAAAATCCTAACCAGGAAAAAACTGTTTTGTACAGCAGCAGCAGCAGCAGCAGCTGCAGTGTTTCCACACATCACAGAGTGCCGTCCTCCACTGCAGATCACCTTCTGTCCACAGTCTAATTAAACAGTCCACTAGTCCGCCCAGATACAGCCCTGCTTAATAACACAGCCCTCCTAATGTGGACCTTTTAGCTCGGCTAACTAAGTGTCGATCATTAGCGTGCGCGGCCTCTTATTAATACCTGCTCATAATTTACACCTGTAACTGAACTGAACTGCACTCCGAGCGCAGACTGACTAAATACACAGTGTGCAGCAGACAGCAGAGAGCTGAAGAAATAACCGTAAACATTTTTGGGAATCAATGCGAATGAAACTCAGTGTGTGACCTGGATGAACTGGTCCAGGGATTGGTGGTTAAACACGAGCAACGTATCTCTTGTTGCATTAATTATTGAGTCAAGTGTTCCTCACTCGGGTAGATTAGGAGTCCACTGACGAGCGCCTGAGGTTGTTTAAGGTACTGTAGCGCTGGTGTGTTCGTGGAATCTGCCGTCGTATCTGCAGAGAGCTGGAGTCGGCCTGAACACGGTGGACTGAGTGCACAGGGTCATGTGAGGTCTAGTACATAATGTAGCCTGCATGAGTGTGTATGTTTATCAGCGTGATGTCACTGAGCCGGCAGACTGCGACTGTCAGGTTCATACACATGCACACAGCCGAGGCCAGAGTCGGCTAAATGTGTTCTGAGGCTGATGGAGCGCATCATTCACCGTTGACTGAGCCCAGAGCCGGTCGCTGGTGCAGTAACCTCCGTCAGGTTTTATTGGACATTCACAGATGTGGGCAGACTAATTGCACCTTTGATCAACAAGAGGTTCACAGCAAACTGGGTTCTGTTTGTACTGATTTAAAGAATCTTTTTTTGGTACCAAAAGTTGGTACCTAACCTAAAAATACAAAAAAAAAGTCAAATCTCTAGTGGTGTTGCAAATTAGTATTTAGTTAACAGCTTTCAGTTTAAGTAAAATATTCTTTAAGACTATTAAATTGTAGTATAAAATGTAAAATATTTTATTTGTTGTTGGTA